TTACAAAAATTAGAAAAAAAAGGAGTGAAAAAAAAAAAAAAAAAAAAAAAAAAAAAAAAAAAAAAAAAAAAAAAAGTCATTTCAGAGTTGAGCTGAAAATGGTCAAAGGAAGCTAAAAAAAAAGTTGCCTTGAAGAAGTTTTCATATCCCTTAAAGCTGCGGTATTTAACGTTCATAAAAATGTTTGGGGTTTTTTGCATTTGTTTAAATTGTTACTATGTCATGAAAAAAAAAAATCAAGCTCCTCTGCCTTCTTCCAGCGCTAACCTGCAGAAATAAACCACTGTCAGAAACGACCAATCAGAACCACGAGAAGTGTCGCAGCGCTGTCAATCATGCCTGCGAATGTGCCGTTATGTTACAGTGTGGAGCCTGTCACGAATGCTAAGGCTAGTTAGCATGTCCACCGAAAACGGTGGATAAACAGTTTTCCTGGAACTGTGAGCGTTTTCTCCGCTTTAGCACATTTAGCAGCGCGTTCACGAGCTTGACTGACTGCGCTAAGACGCTCTCCCCCCTGGCTCTGATTGGTTGTTTTTGACCGGAAATAGTGTTATTTCTTCAGAGGGCAACAGTAGCTCAGGGAGGAGGTGGGGGAGTCTGATTTTTTCACAGATCATCTCACACCATAACATTGCAAGTTTTTAAAAATGAGTAAAAATTTAAATAAAATACACTCTTTTTTCCAAATAAAAATTACATACTGCAGCTTTAAAGTAGTTTCCAACCTAATGACAAGAAAAATAACTGATTTAAAAAAAAAAAAAGACAGATAATTTTAGTGTCATTCTGCTGTGGAAATTCAAACAAAAAAACAAAAATGTAATTAAATCCATTTTTGAAGGAGAGTCTGTTGATGGGACAACTATTACCGTTTCACTCCACAAACTCGCCCTCTGTGAAAACAGTGGAGAGAAGGAAGTCACTGTTTGAAAGAAGCAACAAGAAATGTAAAATAAAATGTAAAGGTACAAAGTATGAACACTTTTGAAGGCACTGTAGGCCAGAGGGTGATTTTAGTTTGTGCCCATCATTCGTAGAGAGAAGCTCTCTGTAGTTACAAAACTGACCTGCCAGTATCAGTGAAAATGCTGAGATAAGCACATGTAGACACAGAAACATCATCAGCTGAGGCTACACTTTTCCAAAGAAGGACCACACACATGCTGGACATTAAAGTGTGCTGTAATTCTGCACCAAGTTCTCTTTTCTTTTCCAGTGTTGCGCTCAATAAGGGGATTACCATGTGGTCTAACCGATACACGTCATTCTCCGCAGCAGCGAGCGACTACGACGAGTCGTCTATGAAAACCTTGACGGAAGATATCACGGCTTCACTGCACCAACACAAACATCTACAGCAAGATGACATGCCAAAAAATAAATAAAAAAAAGGGAACTGTTACATTTCAGCTCGTTACAGATACGAAAATGACATCGATACTTTTATAACTAAGAGCGTAAACCGTTTCACACTCATGACAATCTGTTAAAAAATACATTTTCAATTAAAGCTACTTAGAAAAATCTGGAATTAAACGCTACCTCCATCACAAATAGTCGTGTGAAATGTGTGTCAGTGTCAGCTTTAACAAACTGATCTACAGATGAACACAAGAGGCGGAAGACTAAAAGCAAAATATAGAGTAAAAAAAAAAGTGTTTGCAATGCAGAATATTAATCCCTTATTGCAGTCATGCTCCTCGTGGAGTAAAACTGGAAGCTAATATTAGCTGGAAGCTAAATAGCTGGACTTCGTCACATTCCTCTACACTAGTAGCAACTTTACTTTCAACAGGATGTTTTTGGACCAATCAAGAGTCAGCTATTAAAGCTAGAAATTAGTGATCAAAATCTGGACAAAACCTGAACCTTCAGAGACACATAAAGACAGTTATGAAGTCAGTCTTCCATCACACAAAGGACTTTTCTTGGATTAAAGGACTAATGATCAATAGAAATTCATCCGAGTTTATTTTTAGTCGAACTGATGTGTGAAAGTGTCTTCAGGCTTGCCACAATAAGTAATAAATCAAGCTCAATCATTTGCAATTGCAGGATTGTTTTTCTGTCTCTTTCTACAAAAGGCTTCAGTGAAGGGCAACTCTGTTTACAGAGACTTCATAATCCATTTTATTTGTGGTTTCTGGAGTTCTGTTAATTTATTTTATATATTTAAAATTAGTTCTAGTTCCAGTGTAAAATTTAAAGTCTTTTTCATCTTTGACAGGGTGTGCTCGCATTATTATGTCTTTGCTTTTACATTACGTGAAAATGGTCTCAGAGCAACATTATTATGGTTTAACACAGTAACTTCTGGGACAATTTATCGTCCAGCAAAATGTGTTATTGTAACAGGCCCACGTGTCCCAACAGGTCTGCATAAAAACCCTCAGCCCAGCTCTAAAGTCCCTACACTGGCTCCCTGTAGCTCAGACAACAGACTTTAAGATACTGTTGTTAGTTCTGATTCATTCAATGCATTAGCACCAAAATACATCAGCTGTTGTGTCAACCTTCAAGACCACTCAGGTCTTCTGGTTCAAGTCTACTCTGATGAAAATCTTGATTAATAATAATTGGAAAAACTTAGATCATCTGAAGTCTTTACAGCAGTTTTTAAGACAATGATTTCTAATGTTGGCATTTGAAAAATGTAATCCTTTCATCATGTAAAGCACCTTGCGTTACCCTGTGGCTGAAATGTACTGCACAAAAAAGTTCCTTTAATTACGGTTTTCTCTAGTTTTCATCACATAACTTTCATAGGAGCCAACTGTGTGTCTTGTAAACGAAATAATAATAATAATAAAAAAAACCAGTAGTGATGTTGTGCCAAAGCAGGGAATGAAGGGAAGACTTCACTCCTGGCTCCGTCCACTCCTGAGCCTTCTGTGGCATTTTATTAAAGGGACTTTAAACTGTATGAAATGTATGAAGGTGGCACCGTTTGAAAAACAGAACACATGCGGACCACCTCCACTCGCCAAGCTAAAGTTTCCGTTCCTTGACTTAACCTGTCAGCAAATGTTAGAGCCAAGATCAAGAATAATCTTTATAATCAGGAGTGACTGAACTGGGATTTGGTGAAAATAAATGTAATTTTCCTACTCGACACATGACAGGAAGTCTGAAACAGTAAAAAGTTAGGAGAGCAGCATTAAGTAGTGCATTGCTTTCTGTACGAGTCACTCGAGAGGAGCAGCAGAGATACACAGGTTGTTTAAGGCACAAGCGACTTGCACAATCTTATCAAAGGTTGAGAGGTTGGACGTGCGTTCGCAGGCGGTGCTGAAGGGGCTCTCCACGGGGCCTGTGAGCATGGTGTACCTCTGCTTCACCATGGAGATCACCCTCTCCACGTGCCTCTGCACGACCACCGTCTCGGACTCGACGTCGGGCCCCGCCAAGCCCTCCGATCTCGCGCGAGCTTCACCTTTGCCGGCGATTTTGAACAGAGCTCCGCGGGCGGCTACGGAGTCCGCGATGTCCAGGTCGCGGCAGGCCAGCACGACGTCGCCTGGGAGAAGCTTGCACAGAAACCCGCAACCCTCGGCCAGGCTCTTGTCGCTGACGCTGCCCGGAGCGCCCCGCGACACGAAGGTCACGACGCCTTGCGGAGCCACGCCGATCAGATACTTCAACGAGCCGTAGCTCTGCGCCATTCCCTTGGCGCGAGGAAGGGCCGTCTCTTGTCGTCCATGCTCCGTTCCCGTCGACGCCGGCTCCTCGAGGGGTACAGTGAAGCAGTCTACGATGACGGCGCAGTCCGGGTGCGTTGCGCGCAAAGCAGTGGGCAGGTTTTTCCGGAGCTCCGCTCTGGACGGCCAGAAGACGGCGGTCGGCACCAGCGTGGAGGACATGATGTTGACCATGCGGTGTACTGTTCTGGCCACCGTGCCGACTTTCACCCCGAAGCGGTAGCCCAGGTCTTGGTTGCGGAGGTCCAGCCGCAGGCGCATGAGGGTCAGCAGGAGCTGCTGGAACTTTGACAGCTTCGTGTTTTTCATGCCGTCCATGTGCGGCGCCAGCAGCCACATCACGGTCTCTAACACGAAGTAGTTGGGCAAACCGGTGTAGAACTTGACCTTTTCCGCGTCGTTCCTGAAGGCGTTCTCGGACAGAGCCATTTTCTCCACGGACTCCCTGAGCGCCCTGTTCTCCTTCTTCAGCGCTTTCAAGATGTCGTCGAAGTTTACGGATATTTCGGACATCTGGGCAAACTTTCCTTTCTTCCTGTCTCTCTCGGAGGCTTCGTCGTGCTCCTCGTCCTCATCGGTGCTGAAGGAAGAAGACCCGCTTTTTTCCACAGCAGCCTCCGGCGCCTCCTTTTCGTGACGCCCGTCTTGGCTCGGCCCGTCCACCGCGGAGCTGCCCTGCCCTTGGAGGAACAACAGGGCATTGGCGGCTTCGACCCGCGCCTCCTGCTTGTCCAGGATCTCCAAGGCACCTGGCTCCTTCATGTCTGGGAAGAAGGGAACTGGTGTGAACACAGAAGGAACATAATCGGGCGAATGTGGATTCTTGACTTGTTTACCTGGATGTGGACAGTCAGAAGATGGTTAAAAAGTTACAAAAAAAATGCCTTCCACATTTGTAAGGAAACTATTAAAAAAAACGTAAAATAAAAACATCTTTAATTGCTTTAATATAAATCTGCACTAAAATACATCTTTCTGTTAGAATAAGTTTTTAAAAGGATTATTATGCATTTCCCAGGTATATGACATTTTATTAAAGCATAATCAAATAACAATATTACCATCAGTTGTTATGAAAGTGCTATATATATCAGCATTTTCATAACGCTGATATATTGACTTATTTCTTTTAAGTCAAATATGACTTGAAAGAAATTTTACTTTCTAGCTTAACGCCTTGAAATTGGGTCTCTGTCTCTTTAAAAACTCCTGCTCTTAGTAAAACTCCACCTTTAATATTAAGAAGTGATCACAACATGCTTCCTCTATTAACCCATTAACGACGTTTTTACCAGCGTTTCACTGAGAAGCAGCTCGTATAAAGAGCTCGGCACATGTGCAGCTCCACCAGGTGTTTGCTAATTGCTGCTGGCTAGTCTGAAGGAGCAGAGTGGGGGAGTCGTGAGGGACGCCTGCTCTGTAATGTGGAAGCTTGGAAACTGCAGCTCCGAGGAGGAGCTTGGGCTCGAAGGTGGAGCTAGGTCCAACCAGACATTTTGCATAGCTGAATGGTTGCCATGGAGATTAAAGGATTTCTCAAACATGCATGAAAGAATCAAGGCAACACTCTCTAAATGTTTTTGATGAGGGAATAACATAATAACAGGATGTAAAGCTGGAAAAAATTTGATTTTATATCATTCTGCTGCTTTACATAAGTTGAATATGTTGTTAACTGGAAACCAGAGAGTCATACTCTACATTGGTGTTTAGGTCTAATATAAAGCTAAAAAAAGAAGTCAATTTTTACATAATCCTGCCCCTTTAATTAGGTTTTTCTAATACAATTTAAAAGCCAGATTATTGTCCTATAAAAAAAGAGCAGCTCAACAGCAGTTTCCCCCCCCCCCCTTTTTCTTTAGCAGAGCTGCTAAAGGCTATTTCAACCCCTGCTCTGCTGAGGGTGCTTTATAACTGCATGGTATGCACACTGCAAAGAGGCAAGAGACCAAACACTTCCCTAGAGGAATTAAAGCATCCCAGAAATTCATTGGACTCCACAAGCTCATCCTGGTAAGAATCCTTTACAGACGCTGCCTCTGCAAAGAAGCACAGCTCTCTCATCAGTTGTTCTCTCTGCTGCCATCTGGGAGGCGACTCAATACCAGCAAACATTTTCAGCTCTGACAGCCCTCTCTCAACACGGCTATTACCTTAAGCAATACTAATTGTTGGTTTCCTATCTTTGCTAATCAACAGAATCATTTTTGTCCAGCAAAAATAAAGAACTATTTCCAGTTAAATGAATTAAAGATCAATAATGCAGCAATAAGAATGTCATTCATTTTCTGCTGGATTGAAAACTTTATCCACCAAAGAAACGGCAACATATTTTTTCCTGAAATATGTTCCTCAGAAAATAAGTAATTGGAGAAATGCGGGAAGAGCAGGAGCTTCTTAAAGAGACAGACTCAAAGTTGCAGTTCGTTTAAGTCATGTTTGGTATATACAGCATTTTATATAACAACTAGAGGGAACAAAATTACTTAATTGTGCTATTAAATGGCACCATCTGCCCAGAAAATGCATAATACTGCTGCTTTAAAAGTGGAACATGTGTGTGCGTAGATTATTCTTGCTTTGGACATTTTAGTCTAGTTGTCATTCAGGACAGTTACATTTTGCAATACAAACTGATTTTTCTTTTTCTAGAAACCTTTTTTTACATTGCTAAAAATCACTCCAGTGTTCTAAATATAAGATAGAAATAGTTATGTTTGATACATTTTAAATGTTTTGAACACAACTGGAATTTCATACTGCAAGAAGAAAAAGGAAACGCAGTTTTTATAACACTGAAAACCAGGCCTCAAAAATTAAACTCGATGAAATTTAAAGTAAAATCCTGTGGCATGTAAACTACTCGGACTATACGCAGAGTTTAACCCGAACTTTTTCCTCTTTACGGTTTGTAAACAAGCCTTGTAAAGGTCTTCCTCTTCCCTTGTGCTAACTTCAGTATCTCACACTGTAAGCTAGCAGCTACCATCACAACATACAGAGTATCAAAACCCTCGGATAAAACTCCCATTCCCAGTCCCCCCCACCCCCACCCCCACCCCAACCCTAAGAGTTGCGCTGCATCCGTACCTGAGATGAAGTGGGTACTGCACAACCGGCTGCCGTCGTTCGGTACCCAGCCCGCTCGGTTCACCGCAGCCACCCAGCGCTGCTTCCTCTCTGGGTCCCGTGGGAAGCGGTAGAACGACAGTGTGGTGCCTGGTGTCCGTCGGTTCTTACAACCTGCCACCACACATGTGTGAACCATAGTAAGGCCACGGTGAGGCGTGGAGGTGGCCGTTGCTGCCTGCTGGCTGTTTTGACTCCCAAAATGGTGACCGACGGGAGGATGCGTAGTAAAAAGAAAACTACAGTTCCGTTAACAGCGTTAGTTTGCAGTCCTCGATCTGATTGGATAATCCCAGGGCGACGTCACTGCAACTTGATCTCGACTCGTGCGCAGCAATCCACGCAGACGCCATAATTTGCTGAATTTATTGTGTTTTCTAGAGAGATTTTATATGTTAACTTTTAAGAGTGGAACTTTTTTAGTTTGATGATCAAACACACTATTTACATTATGGTTTATTACGTTTTTAGCAAAAAAAATAAAAATAAAAAATAAAAGCAAAAATATAAAATAAACTCATCTATTTTATGTTGTTTTGGGAAATATATAGTTACGCAAATACGAACAGAAGAGTTTGTATTTCCCAAACTCTATATCGAAGAACTATCACAAGTGGATTAGTATTCTGAAGGATATTTTTTGTAGTTTGCTTTTAGGTTTTTATGCAATATCTAAAACAGAAGAGCTTAAAGGTTTTAAAGGTAATTTATGTTTTATAGATTCAAACTATGTACATTATAATTTAAGTGGGCTATCCATCTTTCTTCATCTTCCAATTTTATGAAAGCTGGCCTTTTTCTACAAAATAAAGCTTCTCCCTCCAACATTAAAATACATTTTTCACAAAAATCTGAACATAGTATTACAATTTAGTTTAATACACACAGCTTTCAAAATAAAACTTTTAATTTAACACAAATTAATAAAATCTCTCTTTTGTAGCTGCTCTTTTATAGCAGGCTTAAAATGCTGATCAAATACATTTAACTGTTTTACAAACTGAATAATTTAATGTGTATGAATACTTTGGAAGGGATACAGATGCATGGTCATCTGGATCATTTAATTACTTGTTTGCTGCTCTGTTTTTTGTCTCCTTACACCAGAAGCCTTTCATCAACAATACATCCCTGGAGATTATATAGTAATCTCCAGGGTTTTGATGGTCGGTAGGAAGACCATCAAATCTGCCCTATTTATCAACCTTACCACATCCAAAGGAAAACCGAAACTTTTTTTTGTAATTAACTTGGCTATGAAAATATGATGTAAAATCTTTAAAAATCCCCAACATTTAAAAAGTGTTGACTTTTTAAGACTTCTTCTCTGAATCAGAGTAATAAATCTGAAGAATCTAATTTACTTTGTTCACTGTGAGGTTTGGGGATGAAAGCTAAAGTTTTATAAATTTACAAAAAAAAAAAGTTGTATATTCACCACCACTAATTAAAATAATAAAAAAAATAAACAATAAAATATAGATTTTAAGTTTATGTTTGCTATTTTTAATCCATTACTTGTGATAATCCATATTTACATATTTCTATTATCAGTCTGAGGAGCTCATACAGGTGAATTTACAATAAGCAGCCTATATTTATTAAACATTTAATCATCCAACTGAAGCATACTCATCATGAATACATCTATTTACAAAAAAAAAAAAAAAAAAAAAAAAAAGGGGGAAAAAAGGAAAAAACGCTTTCTTTTTGGGCTTTTGGGGCCC